GTACCCTCTAAATTATGTTGAGGTTAACTTCTATATACCGATAGTAGAACGGGCAAATGAGTTATTTGGTTTGTATTTGGGCACTGACTCATTAAATGAGTCATTGTCCAATTCTGCTTAAAGTTCACTTTGGTTAAGATGGACCGGTCACGATGGTTGTAACCCAACTCGCCCATATTGATGCAAATCTTTGCAATAACCTCAACTTTTAAATAAACATTATAAAATATTCTCACATATATAACAACAACAACAACAACAACAACAACAACAACAACAACCCAATATAATTCCACTAGTGGGGTCTGGGGAGAGTAATGTGTACGCAGACCTTACCCCTACCCTGGGGTAGAGAGGTTGTTTCCGATAGACCCTCGGCTCCCTCCCTCCAAGAACTCCCCAACCTTGCTCTTGGGGTGATTCGAACTCACAACCTCTTGGTTGGAAGTGGAGGGTACTTACCACTAGAGCAATCCACTCTTGTCCTCACATATATAACAATATTTTTTATTTATTTTTTTCGTAAATATCATTCTGCAATGGTTTATGATGATGAATTTTTTTTTCTTTTTTTCCTGTTGATTCTTGTCTTATGTTTTGAAATAAATGTCAATTCATGCCTAATAGTAAAAGTAATAAATCGTGGGCTAATTTGGGCTACTGAAAATAAATGGGCTTAGTTGGGTTGTGCCCAAACTTAGCCCATCATTAAAGTAGCTCATGCTCAACCCACTAAAACTTGACGGGTTGGACGGGTCAAATGGGTTTGGGTTACTTTTGCCGCCTCTACTCCAAACCGTTTTCTGCTATTCTACAGCTATTGTGTAACGAATGGGCTATAGGAATGCTAAGTGATGCTAAAAGCCTGACAGAAGAAAGGGTGGATGAAGTGTTGAATGAATTTCTTAAAGATTTTAGAGAGAAATCAATAGAAGCCAAAGGATGGCCAACTTACTTCTCAGCTTATAAAGTCTCGAAAGCATCCCTAATTGCTTACACAAGGGTTTTAGCTACGAAATATCCGAATTTTCGGATAAATTGTGTATGTCCTGGCTTTTGCAAAACAGATATGAACTGCAATACTGGGAGCTTAACTGCTGAAGAAGGTGCTGAAAGCTTGGTGAAGCTTGCCTTGTTGCCAAATGATGGACCCTCTGGTCTCTTCTTTTATAGAAAGGAAGTCACCTCTTTTTGAGCATTGCCTAATCCAACTATTGGTTTGGNGTGTCCTGGCTTTTGCAAAACAGATGTGAACTGCAATACTGGGAGCTTAACTGCTGAAGAAGGTGCTGAAAGCTTGGTGAAGCTTGCCT